ATGAAAAAAAGTCATAATATAGTATGTTGTCCAAAATCATGAAAAAAGTCATAGTATAGTATGTTGTCCCAAATCATGAAAAAGTCTTAGTATAGTATGTCGTCCAAAATCATGAAAAAAAGTCATAGTATAGTATGTTGTCCCAAATAATGAAAAAAAGTCATAATATAGTATGTTGTCCAAAATCATGAAAAAAGTCATAGTATAGTTTGTTGTCCCAAATCATAAAAAAAGTCATAGTATAGTATGTCGTCCGAAATCATGAAAAAAAGTCATAGTATAGTTTGTTGACCTAAATCATGAAAAAAAGTCATAGTATAGTATGTCGTCCGAAATCATGAAAAAAAGTCATAGTATAGTTTGTTGTCCCAAATCATGAAAAAAAGTCATAGTATAGTATGTCGTCCGAAATCATGAAAAAAAGTCATAGTATAGTATGTCGTCCCAAATCATGAAAAAAAGTCATAGTATAGTTTGTTGTCCCAAATCATGAAAAAAAGTCATAGTGTAGTATGTTGTCCAAAATAATGAAAAAAAGTCATAGTATAGTATGTCGTCCAAAATTATGAAAAAAAGTCATAGTATAGTTTGTCGTCCCAAATAATGAAAAAAAGTCATAGTGTAGTATGTCGTCCAAAATTATGAAAAAATGTCATAGTATAGTTTGTCGTCCCAAATCATGAAAAAATGTCATAGTATAGTATGTCGTCCCAAATCATGAAAAAATGTCATAGTATAGTATGTCATCCCCAATCATGAAAAAAAGTCATAGTATAGTATGTTGCCAAAATCATGAAAAAATGTCATAGTATAGTATGTTGCCAAAATCATGAAAAAAAAGTCATAGTATAGTATGTCGCCAAAATCATGAAAAAAAGTCATAGTATAGTATGTTGTCCAAAATCATGAAAAAATGTCATAGTATAGTATGTCGTCCAAAATCATGAAAAAAAGTCATAGTATAGTATGTCGTCCAAAATCATGAAAAAATGTCATAGTATAGTATGTCGCCAAAATCATGAAAAAATGTCATAGTATAGTATGTCGTCCAAANTGTCATAGTATAGTATGTCGCCAAAATCATGAAAAAATGTCATAGTATAGTATGTCGTCCAAATTCATGAAAAAATGTCATAGTATAGCATGTCGTTAAAAATCATGGAAAAATGTCATAGTAAAGTATGTCGTCCAAAATCATGAAAAAAAGTCATAGTATAGTATGTCGTCCAAAATCAGAAAAAAAGGCACATAGTTTAGGTAATAGTACAGTATACTTACCCCCCCCCCCCCCCAAAAAAAAAGACATAAAAAAATTATGCTATACTAAGGCAAAACAAAAGGTTATAGTATAGTATGTCATAAAACATGACTTAAAAAAGTCATAGTATGGTATCACAGAAAAAAAAGGTCATAGTATAGTAAGTTATAAAACATAACTTAAAAATACCACAGTATAGTAAAGCAGAAACAAATCATAGTTAAGTGTGGCAGAAAAAAGTATGTCATAAATAAAAAAAAAAATCATAGTATTGTAAGGTAAACAAAAGTCACGTATAATATGTCATAAAACACGACCTAAAAAATCATAGTGTAGTATGGAAGAAAAAAGTCATAGTATTGTGTGCTAAAAAACATAAAAATGTCATTATGTTATATCATTATGATTATAGTATAGTATATAGTATTATGTCATATGTTGTAAAAATCATAGCCCAGAATGCCATAAAACATCATTAAAAAAAGTCTTCATATGGTCATAATATATATAGGACTTGTGTTTCAAAACGCTTAAGAATGGTCAGTTCAGCTATCAAGTGTCTAAGAATTTCTCCTGTAGGTAATTCCCCACAGACTACTCCAGAGGGTTTGACCCTGGTGTGTACACAGCAGACAGAAATTAGAATATCAACATTGCTTTAATAGGTTGCAAATATGTATGAGGTATATGGATTTTGGAAGATGTCAAGCAAATACCACGTGCTGCCAAACCTGGAGGGACCTGGGCCATAATGAAGATAGTGGAGACCTGGACAGAGGTCAGACTACATGTACACACAGGAGACAAAACTCAAGAATACCACTGATACAAAGGGAGAAGAGATAAGAGGTGACAGTGAGTCTCCAGGAGGACAGAGATCAGAATACAAGATGTCTGGAACCGTTTATAGCGTATAGCACTGCCTGGTCACGTGAATTTCATAGCTGATGTGTCTACAGCTTTCAGGAAGGAGACAGATTCACGACTATGAAATAAAAACAGTAAATGAGTAGAAGAATACACTGTGTCTGCTTCTATAAACAGCATTAGTGCACATGTGGAGCTCTCTGACTCATGCAGCCACATGTGGTCTGGCTGAACAGGTACTGACCTTCAGCTTCTTTTTCTTGCTTTAGAAGCCATTTTTTTTCCTTTGCAGAACAACATAGCTGATCCTACTCAATTCATTCCCCAGTAATGATGGAGAATTTGCATTTCACTTGTTCAGTAATGAAGTTATTGATGGACCTCAGTGAATTTGGTAAATGTGGAAATACTGCTTTGCTTAATCAAGATGTCAGTTGTGAGATTTGGAGTGTATCTCTCTTAATAGTTGAGGACATTTCGCCTTTTGTGTATAGGAAGAGAAATCCAGCACCTGGGTCAAATGAGATTTTATGTCTCGGAGGAGTTCATCAAATTTAATTATGATACATATAATTACCAAAAGCAATCTTCTGTGTGGTAGGAATAATCATTTCAGAGAGACGCTGGCACCTGCAGGGGTAAGGTGTAATTTAGAGACAGACTAGAGTGACAGAGGCAGAGAGTGGGGGAGAAAGGGACAGAAACGGGTGATTGCTGTGTACTCCACTGGGAAAAACGACAGCAGTCGATCTGCTACAGTCTCCTCTTTCTTACTGTAAGATCTATAAAATTAGGGTGAATTCAGGTAATGTGCGGCACTTTTTGGTACATGCATCAGTAGATTTACAGAAAACTTGTAGTTGATCAACCTAGCCTAAATAAAGGGCCTGCATATATGTAAGTAAACTAATCTAGATTTAATGTATCTGTCTGCAGACTACAATGCTATGTGCAGGGTTGGGGGTGTTGTAGCAAGAATCAGGTGTGGGGTGCGACTTATAGGCATGCTGGTAACAGTTTAACATATTATAGCACAAACAAAGCATAAAATGGTGTCCCACATATGCTAACATGTTCAGGTAATGTGGGACAGTGACATAAAATGATTAGATTTTTTTTGTTATAAAAATAAAGCTTTATTTTACACATTTTTGTGTGTTTCAACCAGTGGTTAAATTATTTTACTATGAGCAAGTAGTACAGGTTATTATCTAATTTGAATTCCATAAACAGGCCTTATCATTGAGAAACTGAATGTCATATGTTATTGAACTTACCTTGTGCTTATACTGCACAGACCGCGCCCACTTTGATGATGTAACACAGGATTTATATTTCTGCATCGAATCGACGCCGTACCTCAAAGCGTTTATTTACTTTAATTTCACAGATAAGAAACAATAAATTGTGAAGACAATAAAGCCTCCACAAAAGTAGCATTGTAAGTCTTATGTGTGATTTATCCTGGCTTCATATGATTAGAGGAAAACTCTGCTTGTCACTAAGCTAATTTTTACAATGTAAAATGCCATAGGCTTGTGCTAATAACGTTAGCATGCTGTATTTGCTTGGAAAACATGTTTAGTATAAGACAGTTGTTTTGTCAGTGAATCTTGTGAGTTGTAATGGAGCCGAACTTTGTAACTTTTAAAAAGTTGTTGTTGTCCCTGGCTTCAAATGAGTAGAGGAAAAGTCCGCTAGCCACTAGGCTAATGTATACAATGTAAAATGTCACTGACTTGTGCTAAAAACATTAGCATGTTGTATTTGTGGAGAAAATGTGTCCAGATAAAGACAAGTGCTTTGTCTGTGAATGCTGCGAGTTATAGTGAAGCTGATTTGTGTACTTTGTTTGAAATTTACTCTATTAAGCCATGTTTAAAATGTGTTTAATGTGTGTTTAATGTGTGTTTAATGAGTGTTTTGGATCAACTAAACTTTACAGCACTTCACAGAAACCCTGACGCCAACTAGTGTTTTGGAGATGTAACTGCAGAGTGACACAGACACACCACCACACAAGCATAAATGCTCACAACGGCTTAGGCCATGTGTGTAGGCTACGGTGTAGGCTCTGCATAGAGGTGACGCGCAAGTATAAATCCTGCTTAAGATAGATCCAAGCTAGTGTTAGTTCCAGATCAGATTTGGTGACTGGCTGTTGATTTTGCACGTATCCAATCATAACAATGCTTATGTGTCCCACTTTACCTGAACTCACCATACAGAAAATGTAAACCCCACTTCACTGATGTTAGTGTCTTTCTGCTGTTCAGTATCCATTAGGATTACAAAAGAACATTTGACAAGTACTTCATTTTGGTTGATGATGAAAAAACGGCAGTCTTTCATCCTACTTGCGCTTGAAA